TCAGCGACCTGTGTACCTTGGCTTTGGTGAAGAATTGATCTGAGTCGATCTGTCCCTGCTAGAGTCTAAGACACACGAAACCAGGCTTAAATCTCGCTTTGGTTATTACTCTGGTTCACCAGAGGCATTTAATAAATAATGTGTTAATTGAAAACGCTAGAGGGTTTTACCTCCACTGCCCCACTGCCATCACCAACACACACTCTATACGGATGAGGGAACTGTAGGTCAGGACTGCACACCAGGAGAGTCCTGAACCAAAGCCAGGAAGCAAACCTTCTGACTTCAACCTTGAACTCTCATTGCTTCGATGCTTGCCAAGCAGGCATCTAGGTGTGTGCGCGGGAGGGAGGGAGGGGGGCGTGCTGGGGCTGAATGAAGGCTGGAAAGCAGGAAGACTCAGACCTGTTTATTGGGCAACTATGCCTCCCGCCCTGCTCCCACAGGGTACTGACAAGGGTCGCCCCACCCTGCCAGGCCAGCAGGCTCTTTCCAGCAAGAGAAGGAAAGAGCCCAGCGCACCTGCTCAGACTTGAGCCACGGCAACAGCTTCCTTCTTCCTCCAGTCTGAGGTTCCCAGAACCGCAGGGTGTGATTTCACTCTTTGGGCTTAAGGCCAGCACGCTTTTAAGGAACAATGCTGCCAACAGAGAACGTTCAGCTAGCCTCAGAAGAGTCCTGGGTTCTGGTCCAGCCCATGCTGTCTCTTGTTCCAGTACTGGGCAACTCAGTCAGGGTCGATGCCCAGTTTTGAACCCCAGCAAGTCATCTGATCTTAGGCCTTGGTCCGTCATCTATACAAATGGGGATAGTAAAATCACTTACTCATAGTGATGCTATGAAGATAGATAAAATATGTAAAGTGCTTGGCACAGGGCTTGACCTCAGGGGGAGTACTAAGCTGGCTGGGAGAAAATACCCTTACAGGCACTGGCCATCATGGCTTACCTTCCCTCCAACACTTAAACAGACTCCGTACTCCATTCAGGTCTGAATCCTGATGCCAACTAACTCACTATGTGCCACTGTTACCTAAAAGGAAAAGGGAGAGTCAGGTGTGATGGTGCGTGCCTGTAATCCTAACACTTGGGAAGTGGAGACAGGAGGGTCAGGAGTTCAAAGTCATCCTTGGCTATATAAAGGATTATAGGACAGGCTGGACTACATGAGATGCTGCCTTAAAAAAAAGAAACAAGGGCTGGGAACACAATTCACTTGATAGAACAATTTGCCTATCATGCATGAAGTTCCAGGTTCCATAGAACCAAATAAAACTGGGTATTGTGGCATAAATTATAATCCCAGCACTGGGGAGATAGAGACAGAAGGATCACACATGGAGCACAAACATACATGAAGACAAAATACCCACACACATAAAGTAAAAATTAAAATTGTATCTTTATCTGATTTTAGCCTTTGACTACAATAGCAAGTTGGAGGCCAGCCTGTGCTACATGAGGCCCTGTCTTACAAAATCAAAACAACAACAAAAAACGAGAGTCACTCACTAGCTTAACCTCTTTGAACCTCAGTTTCCTCGTCTACAAAATGGGGAATACCAATGGTGTTATTCCACATAGGCCCTTGTAAGCATCAAGTGAAACAATGTGTGTAAAATAAATTGCTTGGCCCTGGTCCAACAGATAACAAGTGCCCATCACCATCTTTATCATCCTCATTATCACCAAGGACTTGAATGCTCCTAGGGCTGCTGCTGGACCAAGTAGGAGTCCAGTGAAATGGTTTGCAGAACTGTCCTTCATCATTCTGGCCCTTTGGTATTGTGCCTTTTATAGCCCAAGAAACACACTGGATCTCCTCCCCAGCCAGCCTTCCCTGACCATGGCTGTGCAGAGTTACTGCACCGCTCAGTACCTTGCTAAAGACTCATTCTGAAGTTTTTTTTAAAAATATTTTGCAGGGTTTTTTTATTAATTTAGTT